TTTCTTCACCTCTTTTACATGGTCAAATTGTTCTCCTTTTATGTCCCTCTTTATTCACAGAAACAAAAAAGTCGACGGAGTGAGATCAGGTGAGTAAAGTAAGTGGGACAAGAGAGACCTGTTGTTTTTTTGCCAAAAACTGGCACACTGAGATGGGTGCGTGCGCAGGTGCCTTGTCATGGTGGCAAAACCAGTCCTCCATCTGCCACAAATCAGGCCTTTTTTATCGCACACTATTATAGTCTTTTCAGAACCTTAAAGACAAAGCTTTGATTAACAGCCTAACCTGGTGAGACGAACTCCAAAGGCACTATCCCCCTCACATCAAAAACACAAATAAGCATCATCTTGATCTTTGATTTCACTTGATGAGCTTGTTCTTGGATAAGGTGCTGATAGTGTCTTCCACTGGCTTGACTGATGTTTGATTTGGGAGTTGTAAGATAAGAGTTGTGTGAGCCCCCAATAAAATGATTTTGTAAAAAGAACAGCACTATGTCTGGTCACCAGTAATGACCTTGGGGGAAAAGTCTGGGTCACTTTGGGGCTGTTCTTTCAAAGCACAGCATGTTTCCAGGTGTTGTTCGTTTTGCTGGTCAGTCAGAACCCAAGCCCCAAATTTCACAGTGACCCTCTCGTTCCCAAATCTTCCATTAAGATGCACTGAACCGAGCTCCAAGATAGTGCAGACAACTTCCTGATCTCTTCAATGGTCTGTCGATGGTCTTGCATGGATTTTGTCAGCATTTTCATCCATTCAAGAAGCTGACGGGCATCCAGAATGAGGTTTGTCATCAAACAATATTTCACCTTTTTTGAAACAAGAAAACCACTTGTACACTTGGGGTTTTCCCGTAGCGCTGTCTTTGTAAGCTGTGTTCAACATCACAATAGTTTCTGCGGCATTTTTCAGAGCAGGAAACAAAATTTCACAGCTGCACATGTTTCTCTTAAATCAGCCATCCAAAAAAATGAGGTTCAAAGGAAACTGCTTTTAAGAAAAAATTCATTGTGACCAGAGAGAACCTTCCCAGGCGACACCACTGGGTGCACCAACTCATAGGGAGTTGCTTGAGGCTCGCCCAGTGGGAAAAATGCATACTAGTAAAGTTCCGCTGAGCAGAGCTTTTATTCCATTGGTGGGTTTTTTTGGTACCCCCTTGTATAATGTGTGTGTATGTGTATATATATGTATATATGTATATATATATATATATATATATATATATATATAGTAATTTGCATTGGGCTATAGCAATATAAACTAAAATAACATTTAGATAGTCTGTTCATCAGAAAGTGGGTCCATAAAGTTTATATATATATAACTTGGAAACTTTATATATATATATATATCACCTTGGAAACTCTAGAGGGCAGTTCTACTCTGTCCTCTATGAGTCAAATCTACTTGAGACCATGCAACCAAAGACTGGCATAATGTAAAGTCTGGTGCCACAATATGTAAACATTCCACTGCTAGCCACAAGGTTGGCACCAGGAACCCATCAATGGCTCTGCAGAAGAAGGCCCGGATGATCTGCTCCCATAGAGATTACAGCCTAGAAGAGCCTAGGGGTCAGTTCCACTCTCACACGGAACACTGCGAGCCGGGATCTACTCTATGGCACCCAACTGCTCCAACAATGTGCAGAGAAAAGTATGATAATGAGAAAGAAGTGGTGGATTCACTAGATGGAAAAGACCCAGCAAGGATGCAGAGATCAGGTTCCTCGTGATGTGTAGGGAGGTCCTGAAGCGCGAGTCATTACCACCCTGTGGAGTGTGAAACACCAAAGGTTAGCAGCAGAAAGTGACGACATAAGATGAGTATCAGATGTGTGTGAACGTTTTCCTGTGGATGAATTGCAAAGGCTGAATGGCTTTGGGTAAAGTCAAGTTCAAAGGAAAGAATAGATTCCTGGTGTGGTTATCAAGCTGTGTGGATAAGGGATCACAATGATGGAAGAAGAGGGTAAATTCAAAAATAATAACTCGATGAGAGCTGCAGAACTGTGTGTTGTTGTTGTTGTTGTTGTTAGGTGCCGCTGAGTGGGTTCTGACTCATAGCCACCCCGTGTATACGTGCCTGGTCCTGCACCATCCTTCCAATCGTTCTCATGTTGGAGACCACTGGTGCAGCCGCTGTGTCCATCCATCTCATGCAGGAACTTCTTCCTTTCGCTGCCCTCAACTGAACCAAGCATGATGTCTTTCTCCAGGGACCGGTGAGGAGGCTATAATGATTACTTTCAGGTTTCTTAGTGGAAAGAACGCTACCTATTCTTCAATGCCCACACTACAGAAATGTTTGGAAGAAGTACCATCTATAGTAATATTTTGGTCAGTCACTATATGCATAGCTTAGGATTTAATTAATTTCTAGTTTTTCAATCTGCACCACCTCTCCAAATCCCTGAGCGTAAGAACCCCAGCTCCGCTTCTCGGAATCCTTCAGAACGTATTTGTGTGTGTATGTATAATAAGCACAGTTGAATGATGGCCTGTACCTTCCATCTTG